CATCCCCTCCACTTTTTGTTTTAGTTCATGACTACACCGCTGTTCGCCGATATCGCCGTTTCTCAACGTTCCCTCGTTTTTATTCCAATCTGTGACTTCACCGATGAGTTAGCTATCTTTGTTTACTGGATAGGAAATGACAATGACCGACATAGAATGGTGGATATAAAAATACCAGTCATAAAAACGCAGGTCCATTTGACATCATAATATAATGCATATGTCATCTGAATTAATTTGTTGAGTGCATCGTCATTGATTGTTTTGAATTCCAAGACTAGGAAAGAATTGATAAGTGCATCACAAGCAGCCGGTTTAAGAGTTGTTGCCACAATGTGTGACCAGGCGGCAAAAAATAAATCGGTCAAAAGCGAATTGCAGCCACAGACCAGGGAAATCTACATCAAAAACAACACAGAAACAGAAATTTTGGTTTTGTTGGAGATAAACAACCTAGTGCCACTGTATGATGCTCCATATTAATACATGCTCGAGGGAATTATAAATTACTTGATCAAATATGACAGTCATTCAAATAGAAAAATGGACATTTTCAAAAAGCAAATTGGAAAGTTTTTCAGTTAGCTTATGAGTCAGATACGCCAAATCATCTAGATTATTCATTAAGGTTTAAAGTCAGGCATATAGTTTATTACAGCAACGCGAGATGTCAGTACTGTCGCCCCTATAGTGTGCCCTACAGTGACTCTATAAGCCACAGTGGCGACAATTGCTGTCTCATTTTTGATTGGTTCTAAAATCCCATATATTTATATTGAAAACACCGCCATCTTGTTCCCAACCCCTTGTTACTTTTAAATATGAATATATGGGATTTAGGTGAACATCCATCATAAATCATGGAAAACAACGTATTTTATGGACCTAATAATGGTCATCAAATACGTCGATTTCAATTTTTCATGATAGATGTCCATTTAAATCCTATATATTAATATTTAAAAGTAACAAGAGGTTGGGAACAAGATGGCGGCGGGACCTCTATTGTCGCCACTGTATGTAAAGCCACTGTAGTGTGCCCTAACTTGATAGTCAAAAAAAAATAGAAATCTGCATTTGATTAAATTGTGTGATGGAAAGTTTTTTCTTTTTTTGCGGAAATTCGAAGTATTATTCTGTTTTACATAAACAGGGTTGTAGTTTGGACCAACACAAATAATTTTGAACGTTCATCCGTCGGATTTTTGTTTAAACAGTGTAGCTACAGGCGTATTTCCAACTATTCTTGCAGTAGCGAGAAAACTACAAGTTCAAAAAATTTGAAAAAAATATATGTCGCGTAGAATTGCAATAGTAGTTCGTAATAAAAATAACGGGAAACTTCATCTATTCGTTTTGAAATAAATGGTGGAAAACCACTTTTTTTTCAGTTTTTGCGATATATCTCAAAAATGGCGAGTCAAATTTGCTTAAAAAAATTATGGATTAAAGTATATCAATAACCATAAAACATATATTTTTTTTGGAATTTTTGAACACAAGGTTCAGAAAATGGGGATTGACTTTAAACCTTAAGTGATTCTCACAAATATATGAAAATAAAATGTATAAAATTTTAGTTTATGAAGTTTTGGAGCACTGTTTTATTTTGAAATAATTGAAATGTCAAACGAGTCATTTGAAACCGAGATTCAAATGGCCCGCCAAATATTAGTTCAATGACTACACCGCTATGGCAGCACCGTCGGAAATGTCACTTGCCGACTACTAGGGTTGCCAGGCGTCCTGGATTTCGCAGGATGTCCTGGATTCAGGGTCTTGCGTCCTGCGTCCTGCTGGAGTTGTCCGCAGGACACCAAATGTCCTGCATTTCATAAAATCCTTACTATTAGAATATAAAAAAATTACTTTTATTTGGGTCGAGCTATGATAAGTCTGTAGGTCCCCACCGAAAAAACTTAAAAGGCTAAGTAAACATAGAAAAGAGTGGGAAACTCAGTTTTCCTAGCTTAAAGAAGATGATATAGTTTGTCAAAAACGTATTGTTAGCTGTGTAAAAAATCGTTTTCATTTACTTATGGAGTGGAGGCCTTGGAAGGATAAAGCGACACGCTTCATGGGAGGACATGAAATAGTTTTTTCTAGATAGCTTATGACTGTTACACTATTTTTGTTATTTGAAACAAGTTCACAAGTTATAATAGGTTTGTTCGGACTTAGTTCAGAATCAGTTCTGAATTGAGGCGCATGCGCATTGGTTTATTTATGTTCGATATGATCAAATGCGCAAGCGCAGTTCAATTCAGAACTGATTCTGAGCTAAGTCCGAACAAACCTAATATGCTTTCGTTTATTTTTGTTTTTTCATGTAATGTTTTCTGCAATATTTCTGATAAATTTAATATAAATATTAGGAAAACATGTAAAACTAAGTAAGTACCTACCGAGATCGTATTTAATTTGAACCTTATTAAGTATTATTTAACGTATTTTTGGGTATAAATATTATAAATATTATTTTAGGAAAATAAAAAAGTCCTGTTTTTCCCATTACTGTCCTGCATTTCTCAACACATGTCCTGCGAATTCAATTTTCAAACCTGGCAACTCTAGCGACTACACAGAAGTGTGCGTTCTATATCAAGAATATAAATCACTTTTCTATGATTGCGTCGATAACGTTTGTTGAATGGGAAGCAACGAACTTTTCTGCCTATAGGCAAAAAAAGTCCACTTTTCCGTCGCTAACTGGAAACCAGAGACGTTCATGACACACCCGTCATTCAAGAAGTAGGAACCTTCAGAAATTAGTTGGGTATATCCTAAGGCGTTCGGCAATCGCCTTTATAAATTTTATTTTATTATTATTATTATTATTATTATTAAATATACCTATTAAATGTTGTGTTAACGTATCTATTAGCTTAAATTTAGTTTTTTTCGATGGTGAATTTGGCTTTGGTTGAAGAAAATTAATGTTTAGGTACTCTCTGGATCAGAAGTCACCTAAAATTAAAATTTTACATCATCCTTTTTTAGGCAGCTTTTGGGCGTTATTCTTGTAAAGTGTACCACCAAATAAATAAACTCAGGCACAGGAATGTTCAAGTTCAAAGGATGTAAAGAAAACAAAAAAAATCTATCTCTAGCGCAGCCCTGTTTCTCTCTATCTGCACTGCACTACTTTATGTGTTCTACTCTATCTGCACTACTCTATCTGATCTACTCTTTTTGCACCACTCTATCTGATCGGAATAGTGGAATAGTTCTGTTCGAAATAGCTCCAGTTCCTAAGGAACATTGTTCTACTGTATCTGCAATGCCGAGCTTCGTTACAGGTATCAGAGATGGCGCGGTATACAAAATACAAAATAAACTTGGTATCGGTTATAAGAGATGGCGCCGTATGCGAGCTTAGTAATTTTTTTTCATAAATAAATAAAATAAGTAATGAAATGACCACATTAATGACATAACAACATGCTGGTACTGTCAACGCTGAAAAAAAGTTTCAATTTGACAGCAAAATCCCCATTAACAAAATGATCCTCCATTTATTTATTACAAAAAATGTGATAAATGAAGAACCGCTCGACCGATTCTGTGCAAACTTCACATAAACCATCTAATAAATAGTCCGAACAAAGCTAATCATTTGGTTTGGCTAGGTGAGCCCGTTCTTGAGTTATAAAATTACAACGAAAAGTGGCATTCATTTTTATATATATAGATTATATAGTTATCCAGATATTCCCGGACATTTTCACCATGCGTCCGGATACCGGACAAACTTTTGAAAAACCGGACAGTCCGGGTGAAAACCGGACAGGTGGCAATCCTACAGTAGGCGCACAATCGGTGGATGAAAAAGGACCTACCGGTAGGCGTAGGATTCACACCCTTTTAATTTTGAATAGCAGCGCAGTGCATCACGTTGCAATGTCGTCTCGTTGGAGTGGAGAAATAAACGTGAAATTTGTGCAAGAATATCGAGACAAACCGTGTCTATGGAACACGAGACATCCATAGTTGTATTCCTTTCAAGAGTTTGAAACACTCGAGCAACTCGCTCCAGTGTTCAGTCGCCCCCGATTTGCAGGGAACAGATGCGTGGTGCAACCTTGGTGCAACAAACACTTTTCGAAAGGAATAGGGGCGTGAAGCCCCGGAGCTGTTCCGGAGCTCCTCCTAGGTGTGAAAGGAATACAACTATTGTCGAACCCAACAACGTTTTTCTTCCAAAACACTAAAATGCGTAGACAACTAAAACAAAAAGAAATTTATTTTAGTCACTGGCTTTAGTACTTGTTCCAGCTACCGGAACTATGTAAAGGCCGGGACACAACTATCATGCATTCTTCCGATCCGACTCCGATCATACAAGATTGTATGATCGGAGTCGGATCGGAACCTCTTTTGCAAATTAACCTTGGTGTAAAAGGACAATCGTCAATACAAAAATCACAAACATGAAATTTTGATTTTGGACACAGAATTTCAATTATTGTTGACTTATTAAACTTGCCCATTTTCTGAAGAAAAAAAAACATGAAAAAACTAAACCACACAAAATGAGAATTTATTTGCGAAAACTCTTTTTTTATCTGACATCTGTCATATAAGGCGCAATAGTTGTATTCCTTTCACACCTAGGAGGAACTCCGGAACAGCTCCGGGGCTTCACGCGCCTATTCCTTTCGAAAACTGTTTGTTGCGCCACGCATCTGTTCCCTGCAAATCGGGGGCGACTGAACACCGGAGCGAGTAGCTCGAGTGTTTCAAACTCTTTTAAGGAATACAACTATTGTATTTTCCTTGATACAATACAGTACCAGTGGTACTCAAACAACTTTTTATTATTTACCTAAAAATTTTCGTCTAATCTGTCTCGTATTTCTATATATCCCCAATCTTTCAATAAAAACATATTTAGAAATCAAATTAAAACCTCTATTTTAGCTATATTCCATGGTATTTTTAGAAAAAAAATCAAAACTTCCCACTTTTGACAGTTGACTAGTTGACAAACTTTTTAAGGCCACTGTTCGACGAGGGTAGTCATCCAACGTTGGTGATTAGTAAAAAGAATGAAGGCGAAAACGTAAATAAATTAAATTTTAGTGATTTATTCCTAAGTTTTGCGTTAATTTATTTAATTTTTAAACGAAAACAGTGTCCGGATTTATGTGCGTCCGTGTTATACCAAAAATCAGCCCGTAAATGCCCCAAAATGTCCAGGAACAAAATCGCAGCTAGGAATATCCTACACAACAAAGTTGAAGTGAAAAGCAAGGTAACGCCTTTTGAGAATTTATTCTATTTGGTTTTAGTTTCTACTATTTCTGGTTATTGTAAACTGGTGAAATTTGCCTGTAGGAAATAGAAAATAGGAGAAATTCGACTCGTCTTCTATAAAAGTTCAATAGCCTGGCTTTAGTAGAGATCTGTGCCATCCACCTGTTAAAATAAATCGGTAAAGAGAGCGTGAATTAAGTAATAAGCTTATTAATTTAATTAGTCTTTTACATTTTTTATTGCTTTATTTACAGACGCATTAAAGTTTATGAATATGTCCTCAGGAATTCGGAGTACTTATGAAAGGACAACCTGTTGATAAGATAATGAAGCACATCAAAATACTGATTTATAGTTTTGTTTTCATGTGGTTTAAATTATCTGTAATACTTTTAAACAACTGCAAGGGCACAGAGTTTCAAATAACAACATTCTTTGTTGTAAAATTAATTATAATATAATAATAATATTTGTTTATTCAAGATCATAATACAAAAAGAGAACACAAAATGAAAGCGAGTGAAACAGTCAAAAGATCACAGTCTAATTACAAAATTATTATGGATCTGGCCAAAAATCTTCTTAATAATATGGTTCTAGGTTTACTAACAGTTTCTTGATATCTATTTTACATTATTCACCTGAACCTGAACAAAGACTTTGTATTTGGTTAGGTAGGGTACCTGCTGCCTACTGAGTAATTTTGGATGATTTTTGGTTGCAGTAAGTCTATGTGGCTTGTACCTACCTAAAAACTAATTTTCTTGTGTTATGACTGTGCTCTGTTCGAGGCTCTGTTTTAGTAGCTAAACGCTTTTCATTGTGAAAGTACACTGCATATTCTGTCATAATACCTTTAAATAATGATTTACGGCTCTGATGGTAGTCTTTTTTTTTCATTATTCCTATTAGCCTTTTCTGGACAACAAATATATTTTGCAACCTACTATCCCTTCTCCAGAAGATGTTAGGTACCGGTACCCATATTTTAGAACAGATTCAGAGTTGGCACAGTATAATATTTTTGAAGAGCCATCATTCATTTACTTACTTACTAACTTTCCTAATACCATAACAAATAGAATTCAGCTTCTTAGCTAACTCAGCTAACTGTGTTATATGGCATGCCCAATCAAGGTGTTGGTTTGTGTGAATATGTAAAATCTTTGAGTTCTCATTTGTAGCTAGACTGTTCTCCCCAGTGTTGCCAGATCTCACGATTATTCGTAAGATTACACGATTTTGGTCAGAATTTCACGATCCCACGAATGAGGTAGCAATTCTTACGAATTCTCTCTGTAGTAATACAAATCAGTAATCAAAATAATGTAATCGGAAATAATCGAAATTAAAATCTACTATACAATATTTAGTTATTTTAAGCGCGCCCAAGGACACTTAACCTAATAGCACAGCATATACAAAAACAATCAGCAGGCTAACTCGAGCTTCGTATTCAAAAATGGCGGCGTGCGCAGATGCGATGGGCGTTAAATCTCATTGTTCTGCCATTTAAAGATAGGCTGTATTCTCGAATGGCGGCGTGCGCAGAAGAGATGCGCGTGAGAGTTGACCTGCTGTCTGTTTTTGTATATGCTGTGCCTTGTGCTGTGCTAATAGGACTGCTTATTCTTATTGAGCTGAAAGTGTCCGCGAAGTCCACGAGACCCCAATATTTGCGACGTCAGCTGCAGACCTCAACTCTTGGCAGAAAATGCCCGAGTCCAAAAAACGAATTAATAAACGTTGAAATCGCCTTTCCTAAATTTAAAATTCCCAAGAAAATTAGCTCACAAGCACAGTCTGCATCGCAAGCAATCCATCCATCAAGGTCTGCGGGTGACATTACCACTATCAGCTGCTGATAGTGGTGACGTCACTCGCAGACCAGCTGCCGACTCGAGAATTGGCGAACGTACGCCTTATTAGGATAAGCAATCCTGCGGATAATGAAAACGAGGTTCAGCTCTCAGGAATACCTGCTAGAAAACGGAAAAAACTTGTATCCTTGTTTTTTTCCGTTAATAATAAAATTTCTATCTTTTATGGATGTAAAATCATATCCTTTTATCAAAAATCTATAAAAGAAGATTGTTTTGCAATATTGTGCATTATATTCTCAAAAGCAGTTTAAGGTCTCACGATTTCTCACGATTTTTCTTTCTCGATTCTCACGAATTTTTTAAATTTCATCTGGCAACACTGGTTCTCCCCTCAGTTCTCCCTTAATTGAATCCATGACGTTCTAAAAATAGTGGAATGCCTCATTCTAATCTGAGTTCTAAACAATGAAGTATTTGTTTTGCTCTCATTCAGAATTAATTTATTAACCCAGAACCGAGTGCAGAACCAACTAGTTACAATATCGAAGAATTCCCCAGTTTTAACTATCAATTCTTGTAATGCTTGCTGTTGACGAGTAGATTTGTGTCATCTGTATATTTTATGTTGTATGTTTAGTCCAGGAGGTGGCGCCAAAAACATGCAAGAGTTTTCGCAAGGCGCATATTTTCAAAATAGGTCGTACTTTAGAATAGAATAGAATGAATAGAATAGAATAGAATAGTAGCTTTATTTCAAATTAAGTTTTTACAATACATATTACAGCATTACAAAATAACATGAAATGAAATGGCGTCACAAAACAATATACTTAAATTACATTACAATCAGAGTACGGTCGTCGGCGTGTAAATACGTACTTTTATTTCGCTCCGTTATTATCAAAGTTTTTCAAGTATATTTGGATCAATTTAATCCTTCTTTGGTATTGCTGTATTCGTAAAAATGTATATGATACAGTGGCAGTAAAATAAACGCCATAAACGTTAAAATAAAAGCGTGAAAGTGTTAATATTAATACTTGTTTTAAATTTAGTGTAGACTTTGTCTGAAAATCGTTTAATCGTTTACTTGTAGCACAAAGGATTCTTATCAGCTAAAGAGTTTGTTTACTACTTTTTTGGTGACCAGCGGAATTCCTGAACGTTTTATTGTGTTTATGTGGAATCCCCTTGAGTATTATTGTTTATATTGTTTATTTTGGAAATATTAGACAGTTAAAGCATGTCATGGGGGTCAATGAACCTGGTGATACCTACAAGAATTAGGCAACTTTTTGAATTTTTTAAATTTTTAAATTTTTTTTTTTTTTTTTTTTTTTCTTTTTTTTTTTTTTTTTTTTTTTTAAATTTTGAAATTTGGTTTAATATAATTTAATCCAACTTTTGCGGCAAACATGGCTTTCAATTGTGCGGTTTGTCTTACCAGCTGCATTTTTAAAAGACGTCCTAACTCCAAGGAGGGTGAACTCTTTGGATGTAACTGTGATGGATGCAAACGCTTTATATGCAAAGACTGTGGAAACCTGTCCACCACTGAAACGGATGCGCTTTTATTGCAGAACAAATCTCTCCTTTTCTTTTGTATGGAGTGCAAAGCCTGTTTTCCGGAGATTAATAACCTTTCTCAGCACTATGATCAGCTCAGTGATAAATTAGTTCAAAAAGAGAAATATATCGGCAATCTTGAAACAGACATTGTGGATTTAAAATCAAGCTTAAAGCAGGAAATTGATAGACTGACTAGGGAAAATGAAATGAAGGATAGTCATATTAAACGCCTCAAGAGTCGCACTCAAACACTGGATGATGAGGTATTTGAGACGGAAAAAAACTATTTATCTACGATAGATTTTCAAAAATTGGGGTTAAAGCGTGTCAACTTAGAGCTGGCTGATGTAATCAAAACCAATCAGAGCCTCAGTGAAGAGTTAAATACCCACATATCAAAAATTAAGACACTTGAAAATGAGATTATGGCTCTAAATAACACCAAATCAGCTTTCGAATATAAGATCACTTCTTTGTCCGACGCTCAAGATATGTATGTTAAAGAAATAAACGATCTAAAATCTTTAAATGTTGTCAGCGAAAGTAAATTGACAGAGCACAAGGATTGGCTGAGACTGCAACAAAATGAACTGAGGGAGATGAAGGAGACTGCATCGGAACTTAGAACAACCATAGAGGTCTTGGAAAATGAGCGGAACATGTATATGGAAGAGGTGAAACACTTGAAAAATATTGAATCTTTTAAACATAGCCATGTGAATAGTGACCTGGAAGATCCTCTCCAGAGATGTGAATCTATACAACATCAGGTTCTTATTTTGGGTGATAGCTCAGTTGCAGACCTCTACAAGCACTTAAAGGTATTTCAACACCAGAACTACAATATCCTCACTTTTGCTAAGCATAATGCAAAATTAGAAGATACTATACAAAACATAAGTGCGCTGTCAATTGATTATTCAAAAAAGGATTTCATCATAATTTCTGGAGGTCTACAAAACGCAGTCAATGGCGGGTACGTGCATGAGAGTGTTTTTGAACTTTTGTTAGAACTAGGACAACATACTAATGTGATCATTTTATCAGTGCCACTTTGGGGTAATAGGTCAGTGCTAAACAAGTTTATTGACAATGTTAACATTTCACTACATGAAAGGCTTCAAAAATGTTGCACCTTTATAAACATTAACTCTTTTTTAAATTCAACCTTCTTCTTTTCTAATAAAGCCTTAGTGCTGAAGAATGTTGCTAAATTTAGGATAGCTCAGCGCATTGATAACGTTGTTTCTAGCAAAGTTACCGCTGGTAATGATGATGTTAGGGTCAGTACTGCTAATTCGACTTCTTTTTTACTGTAAATAATGTCATCGACTCAAAAATTATACTGAATAAGATTGACGAGTATTTTTCAGTTATGTTGATGAATGTACAGTCAATTAGAAATAAGATAGATGAATTATACATGTTTTTAGATAGTATAAGTTTCCCAGATATGCTGCTCTTAACTGAACATTGGCTTGTGACTGATGAGCCAGTATCCATACCTGACTATAGTATGCTATCAAAATACTCGAGATCCAGCTCTATTCATGGGGGTACCCTGATAATGGTTCGCAGTTCATTGTTGAGTGTTTGTTCTTTTGTT